GTCCATTAGTGTAGCAAAAGCAGATCTGTGCTATTGTTGTATATTTATAATTTTGTTTTGTGTTGCCGTATCTGTACAAAAGCTTAATGCATGATGAAAACAAATCAAATGTAACCCCCCATGCCCATCCAAAATATATACCTCGATTAAGATTTCAATTGACGAGCATTTTTGGCGTATATTGTGAGATGTCTTTGTTTACCACCTCTGTGTTTGTGGAATCAGGATATACGTTATTGGCTCATAAGGCACAACATTACTCTTTAGGCTAAGAAAATTTATAAAACTTTGACGCTACAGGGTCCCCCCACCCCCAAAAGTCTTATCCTCTATTAAACTTATTTAGATAATGAGACAGGTCTCACTTTCTATCATAAGCCTTTTGTTTGATTAGACTAAAAATTGTTTAGCGAGTTCGACAATGTTTAGGTTAGCTAAGGCAAAACTTTTAAACACTAGCAAAGTCTTTTAAAGATGGGACAATAAAAAGTCTATGGAGAGCAGTTGCACCCCCAATATTATCTGACAAATAAGAAAGCGCACACATACATCCCTCCCCTTTTTGAATCTTGTGATTCTCCCGATCTTACAGGCAAATCTTGCACTAAAAAAAAAAGAACAGCACATTTCACATTCTACGAAAAAAGCAATAGCACATGACAACGGCCATCTTCCACAAAACGTAAGGGCTTTTGATCTATTTTAGACGATGCAGACATTTGGGGAGAGTGTGACAAGTAATAACTAAGGGCTAGAAAAAATGGCTTACAAGTTCTTTGTCTGCTCTGTCCAAATCAAACGTTCTCGAGGTGAAGATAATAGCAATTTTCCTAAAAATGGTACGATAATTTTTGCTCACTAAAGGGAGGCTGATACGTATCAGTCAAAGAGGCAGTGCTTTATTAGACTTAGGGACAAGCTTATGGTTTAATAGCGGGTACTTTTCTGGTTGACTGCGTCGTTACTTAAAAATTGTTTATATTCGCCGGCTATTTATAGGAATCTGGCATATACGGCGCTAACAAAACAAAATAAAAAAGACATTAAAAATAGTTGTAATTTGGCCGTAGCAGCAATTTTATTTGCCTCTTTGTCAACTTATTGTTTTAAGCATGGAGTTCCATTCAATTATTGGGGGAGATAATGTGGGGGTTGCAGTGTATACACACTACTTGCACGAAATTGTATCTAATTTTAGAAAGCGAATGTCGGGGGAGGTGATGAGTTTTACAAGGAAATGCTTTGTTCTTTTACTTCCTATGGAGTTAAGCTAAGCCTCGTGCTTTTTTTTTGTGATATTTCTTGACATTCATCCGACTTTATAAGCCAACTGTCAAACTGATACGATACTAAAACAGTAGATTGGAATAGACGATATATTTTCTTTGTCGTCTCCACTTCACTCTTTTTCATTCAGGGTTGTTAGTGCCCCTTACTTGTATATATCCAAATTGTCTTTACTGCTGGTGAAGGACACTGTAAAGTGTTGATTTACGAAAATCTCAAACTAAAGAAAAGTTAATTTTAATTCGTATTTGTATTCAAAAGCTTAATTTCCTACATCTCTCTACTTTACAAAATCTAAATTTTAGCCCCTATTGCGCCTTTGGCGATGCGAAAAAATAAGAAAAAAGAAAACAACAAAACAGCACTAGTTAATTATCATTTACCAATTGTCTACTTCTAAGTTCGTCATCGTGCATTCAATTGCTCTCTGAAAATACAGCTAAGACTTGTTTTTGATTCCAAACCTTAATTCTTTCATCATTCCACTCACATAATTGACAATAAAAAGAAGGGAGGCAATTAGTCAAATGTGCATCGGAGATAAACTAGGTAGAGAGAAATAGGCTTGAAACTAGTTGTCAGTTGCCAAGGTAGGATGAAAAAGTCAAATTTAAGAGGAATTACACAAACTGCAAATCTTTCAGATTCATGTTCCAAAAGAGAATTACCCCATCTGGGACATTGTTTTGAGAAGAGGAGGAGACATTGGTAAACCTCAGGATCCTTTAGCCAATTCTGTGGACAGGAAAAGCGGGAGTCTCTGTCGAAGCAAAGGAGGGAAAATAAGTCAGTTGTAGCCACGTGTGACTGATATTAAACCACTCTCTACACTGCAAAATAAACTTCAGATCTCTCAAACGTATGGAATATAGAGATATTATTGCAAATCTATTTTTTGTTATTGTACAAAAAGATGACCCAAAGGTTAAAATTGTTGCAGTAATATCATTCCCGACCCGAGATATAGATCTACTTATAATGCCTTTAACGCTTTTTCTTTCTTTTTCTAGTACTGTTTGTGTGTAGAATCTGTAAAGAAATAGGCAATGGTTCAATTTTTCGATTTCTTTTTTTTATGTTACCGCCTTCTCTTGAGCTTTCTTTTCTCCAGAAACAGAAATTTCTATTACATGACAACAGCACAGGCAGAGGAAATAATGGGCCCATTTTTTGGGAACTTTAGTATTCATTTGGAGAAGTGTAGCAATCTAGCCGATACAAGGGTGAGGTAGGGTGAAATGATCAGGAAATGTAACCACTGGGTAGCACTCATTCCCATCGCCATATTCTGCAAGTACTGTATATTGGGTTAAGAAGCCTTACACAACCCCCTCCTGAAATTTCAAGCATATGCCGTATCAAGCTAACCCTTGCGTGTAGGATCTCATCTGATGTAACGGTTGAAGTAATGGTGCATTTACGTGAAAAAGGAAAAATAATAATAATAAACAGCAAATAAAATTTGCTCTACATGACAATACCACTGAGTTTCATTTCTAGTGGGGGAGCAAAAGCACAATAGATTTCACTGTTTGGCTGCAGTTCTACACAGTAAGAAAGAAAAAAATGATTGACGTCCTTATTGTTTCTTTTTGGCTGGGTTGAAACAGAGAATGAAAAAAAAAAATATATGTAAGGAAGGAAGAAAAGGTTATGCAACTTTCCCTTCCCTTCCATCCTTGCTTAGTTACTGACCTCCTTTTTTTTTCTTTTACCAAAGAGAGTAAAGTAACATGTACATACACCCCAGTTGTTTAATAAAAAAAGTTTTGTTTGTGGCAAATTTAAACTTTAATTTGGAACAATAGAAATTTATTTATTTATTTTATTTTATTTAATTCAGAAATAAACTTTTGTGATATTTCAGGTTTTTATTGGTAGACTCTCAGTACACAAAACCCTCTCACCACCATCCATTGCTAATATTCACCATACAATTTCTAAAACAGAAATATTACCCATCACAAGTCACACCAAGACACAACTTCAGTATCTTCCCTTTTCTCTCATATCCAATGGAAGCACATTTGGCTTATTCTAAATACCACCCACTCCTTTCACTTTTTTCCTTCTTTTTTTTTCTATTTCACATCAGAAAATTGCTTTTCGAGCAAAAGGATTTTTTACACAAAGTATCAACAACACAATCGTCTGACTCTCTCCCTTGTTTGTTTCTGTTTCTTATTTTGCATATCGTAATGACAACTAAGAATGTGGAACTAGCACAAGAGAAATTCCGCCCTGTGTTGTTATTCCTTTTTCTCTACTGCTTTTCTCCTATTGGCACTTTCTAGAATATAAATACCCAACAATATCTCTTCCTTATCTTGATGAGATTTGCTTCTTTTCTTTTAGTAGTCACATTTCACTGCTTTATTCAATTGTGATTTACTGTGGTGTATAAGAAAGCAGCAACCACAGTATATACCATACAGAAAACTAAGTTAGTGTTAAAAATTTTGTCACTGCAAGCACACGACACGACCAAATTTACATAAGCAACTTATATCAACACAAGCTATTTTTATTCACGTGCTGTTGTTCCTTTTTTTTTGGTACCCCTATCCAATTAAACTCCTGGCGGTTAAATTTTTCATACAATCGCCGGAAATATACACCTCGCCAAGACGCAGAAAAGGTTATTCTCAAAAATTAAAAAGCCCATTGAAACTAGCCTCAAGAATATCATTTTTTAGGAGCACCAGCCACACACATTACATACTCCTAACCACTTTTGTTGCCCACCTTCAGTCTTATTTCCACGCGCGACATTCACAGAAAATAGCTTGTGCTAGAGTAGACTTTACAACCGAGACTAAAAGGGCCTGTCCATATTTTTTTGTTCCGTGCGCGATTAGGGTGCCAATATCAAACAATTGACTTAGCCACTGGAATCACAAGCACAAATTGCAAAGCGCATTGTTTTTGAATTGCTATTGACCAAAGAAGAAACTGTGAATTTCTTTTTTCCATCTTCATTGATCTCATTTCACGACTGCTTACGAAATCTTCTATTATAAGTGAATTTCACTACGGAAGGTAAGTTTAACCAGAGAAAAGAAACAAACTGATTCAAGTAATTGCTAAGCTATTATTGAATAGAAAATTTCCCGGTGACACCATTTTTTTAGCCGAGACGCCGAGAACAAAAAAGAATAATCATTCCATTGGAATCCACGAAGTGCAAAACATTAGTGTCTCACTTTTCATTTTTCCACAAAAGAAGCTTTTACATACGCGGAGGGTTAAACTTGCTGAAGCAGGCATCGTCAAAGCAACATTGAAAAGTTGATTACTTCAGTAGATCCAGATAGCTCAAAAATAGACCCAAATCCACACAAGCGTACTTTTACTTCACTAGCTATCAACATTGTTGCAGCTGACGAACAATCCAATAAGAAAGTTTCAACAAGCCACATTTTATCAGCGGAAAATTCAGTCTTTTTTCACATTTTGTGCTGTTATTCTACATTCCATAAAAAAGGAGAGAAAGAAAAAAATTTTTAAGAAATTTTGCAGCAATTTGACATCGAGACTGTCTAAAATTTCAAGTCATACTTCCGCACCTCAACAATTGCACAAATTTAGTGAGACAATAATATACACACTCAATCAGACACCGAAAGAAAGCACTATTTAAATATCAGCTGCAATAAGTTTCTACTTTCGTCAACAGTCTGAAACTTATTCCCACCATCAACTCTCTCTCTCAGATGTCCAAAGTGCTTCATTTAAATACAACACCCTCCAGCGAACCCGAACCCACAATACTTTCGACCTGGTCGTCGACTTCATCAATTAGCACCTTATCATCTGTTGCCACTACTCCTACCCTGTTACAACTAGCCAAACCCACTTTGGAATCTGCACCAATGATGTTGAAAGCTGGTTCAATTAATGATTTGCTCGCAGGTGGTCCCTTTCAACAAGAACAAAAGACTAACGATTCGGTGTTTACCAATTCCGACGTTGCCTTGACCTCATCAGGAAAGCCACAGATTGTATTCATTCACAAGTTATATGACATGTTGAGTAATGAATCAATTTCCAATTTGATTAGATGGGCACCAAGCTCAAACTCATTCTACGTATTTCCTGGTGAAAATTTTTGCAAAGTTCTTGCACAATACTTTAAACACACAAATGTATCTTCATTCATCAGGCAATTAAACATGTATGGCTTCCACAAAGTCAGTGACAACAACAGCTCAGCATCGCCTCCTGAAAGCAAAAACAATTCACGTTGGGAGTTTCGTCATTCGCAAAATCGGTTCAAAAAGGGAGATATAGAATCATTAAAGTATATCAAAAGAAGAAGTTCCAAGACTATTAATGTGCAAAAAGAAGTTGTTGATTTGAAATCAATTCCACATCCAGGAGGAGAATACGCGTCAATGCCAAGGCACTCTGAGAATGAGCTTTCACCATTCAACACTCATTATTCGACACCAAGTCCTTCACAAGCTCCAAGAAATGGATATCCTTCATACCCACATCAAGTACTACAAGCCCCCCTGTTTCCTTCACTCGCACCTGCATTGCAACAACCATCTTTACAATTACTGGTTCAACATATTGACCGTTCAGTTCCGAAATTGAAATCTCCATTGACGCCAGCACAACCACCAACCAACCCACAAAGTGCCAACCAAAGGGGGCCAGATACAATATTGGCATTACCTCATGTACATCAAAGTGGAAGCGTTCAAGACTACATCCATCAGCGGCCACCAATTTCCACTCAGCTTTCGTTTGAAACCAAGAGAACAGATGCAACTATTACTGAAGTTGAATACTGGAAAAAGAAGCATGGTGAATTGACAGCTGATTTTAATACCTTGATAGGAATTATTGAAAAGGGGACCAACGTTGACGTCGAATTTCAAAAGTTTAAAGAATCAATAGCGCTTAGACAACTGTTGCAGAGTCACGTCCATCTCGAGTTCGACGCTCCAATACTTGCTCCTCAGATTGACAAAGCCACAACTTTATCCTCCTACTACCCGCAATACAAACCCAAGTTCAACCCTCCGGTATTGAGACAAAGAGCCGAATCAAAATCTTATAGCCCATTAAGCGCAGCAATGGCACAAAAGGAATACAATCAGTCCCATCAACAAATGAAAATGGATTCCAAGATACCGTCTCTATTAGTCAATCAATCGCAGAGGACGAATTCACTTCCGGGGGTGTTGCCACAGCAGGAGCCAGACAGAATATCGCCAGTAGTCACTAAGACATCAGCGGAAAAGAGAAACTCTGATTCATTGATTGGTGCTGCTCCAAGGCTACCGAGTGTCAATGAGTTGACTATGAATTTGCCTGTGTTTAATTCAGGATTGAATTTCAAACGCAAGCGTTCATCATAATGAGAGACATCACCATTTCCATCCTTTCTGTTCTTTTCTTTACTTTTCAATTCGTGTGGCATTACTTTCTTTGTTTACAATTTATAGCTTTTTTTCATTTATACAATTCTAAGTCTACTTAACATTCATTGCAAGTAATCACTCTATTTAATGGATTGATATAATCCTTCTCTAAATCATTCTTGACGTAAACAATGTAATACGGAGTCGCTGTATTTCCTTCAATGAAATTAAACACTTCAGAATCGGGAACCTCAGTAACCATTTCATCGTTGTACTTTCTAAAAATATTATCTTGGTGAGGATCTTTAATGTATATCCAGTAATGGCCATAACTTGCTTCACCCCGGTGAATGAAAATGGCAAATATTGAGTATCCAACTTGTTTATAATTGTCAAATTGAGTATTGATTTGTTGCTGAATTTGGACAATCCTGGAATCAATATCATCAATTTGATTTTTCAATTTGTTGATTTCATTGGACAATAGTTGAATTGTTGTTGGTTCAACTGAAAGCTTATCGTCATCCCTCACCTTCTTTTCCAAGAATGCCTTTGTAGTGATTAAGCTGTCGATAATATTCATTGAAGCATCTTCGTCAACAGACAAAATTTGACTCTTTCTACCCCTCAACTCTCCAAGTTCCCTCTTCCATTGGAAAACTTCAGCTCGTTTGCCTAAAATAATTTCATCTTCGGTATCCAAATACCGGTCAAGATATATCTTTTCACTGAATGGAATAGGCTCAATACTCTTGTATGCCATTAACTTCTCTCTATCAAACATTACTCGCTGCACATGAAACTGCATAATTTGAGGGAGTTCAGTAATGGTAATGGACTTTTTAGCTGTTCCTTCCTCGAGTTTCACGGTATCCTCATTAAAGTAATTGTCTAACGCATCATAGATACTCTTGGGGTGGTCACTGACATTGATAATTAAGCTGTTGAAGCGCTCTGTCAATACCCTAGCTTGTGATTTCTTTATATCATCATTTGCATCCAATGGCTGTATAGTCTGCTTTGTTTTCCCATAAAATAATTTCTTGATCAAGTCATACTGCTCGCCATCTTTATCCAAATAAGTTGGCGGTAAAGCCAGTTCAATTTGAAAAATCACATTTTCAATGCACTCAGTGACATCCTGTTGCCGACCTATCTCGATAGTGCTTTCAATTTCGTCTGTCGATATTGATAATATCTTTGAGTTTGGGTCTGGCTCTGAAACGGCGGATGCAGTAGATTCCGGTGTCTCAATATCTTCAATAAACTTGTCTGTACTTACTTGTTCTCCAATCATGCGAGACTCAACCATAACTCCGTCAGACTCGGTATTAACTTCTTCATTGTCACCAGCTGTTATTTTATCTCTCTCATCTTTGAATGGATCGCCATCTACTACACTGGTGTCCCCTTCTTCAATCTTGATATCCCCATCATCGTCAGTACTTTTCAGCTCATCAGTGGTACCCTCTTGACTTTGAATGCGCTCTTTAAAGTTAACCGGCTGAGACAATGGCAAGAATGATAAATACGCCAACTCTTTACTAGGCTGGACACACCTCTTATCAGTTGTAATCATCTGCTCAAACAATTTTTTCAATTGGTAAATAAACTGGTTGGAACGACGTATTTCCGAAGGCTCAACCTTGCGCCCTCCAACCTTTCTCGATTCAGTAAACTCTTCCAAATCAAAATCGTCTTCGTCAAAAGTTAACACTAAATCACGCAATGGCTTGATACAAAAGTAATACTGCAATAACGAGTTCAAATAACAGGTATTTCCAATGTTGTCTAATCCAGCTGGCCAATTCTCCGCCGGTAGCAATGACGAATCAACTTTACCCGTTTTGACAAAGTTCATCAAAATCTCTGACTTTCTAAATTCAGCAATTGTCTTCATAGCATATCTCAATTCGCGTATGTCAATCTCGTTCGACAAAGATTTGTTCTGGAAGTTGTTGATAATCTCAAACTCGGACGTCTTTCCATTAGCGTTGAGAAATTCATATGCTTTGGATACCGTCATTTGGTCCAAAGAGGAAACTTTAGCATACTCGGGAAGTTTCGTCTCCAAATAATTTAGCAAGATATAGCTCCTTCTGTTGATGGCTACTGATGCTAAGGCCTTATTTAAGAAAATAATCTCATCGGCATCCGCATTGAATCCGTTCAGTTGTAACAAGTCATCTGCCTTGAACTCGTAAGCCGTAACAACGACATCATCCTCGGTGATTTCTTCAATTTGAAGTTCCAGCAATGCCAAATCCATAGGGATTATTTCACCTGCAAGGAAGCTTTTCAACCTTTGCGAATTTTTCCCATATGATACTGTCTTTAAGTGGTTATTAAAGTACTGGTAGTTTCTTGGATCACTTTTACATTGCTCCTTGTACATTGCAATGATAACTTCATCGTCAATTGAATCAACAGGTGTGCTAGAGTCTATTGCCACACCTAACGTTTGTAATGACGCGATATAATCTTTAAAACCCACAAACTCTCCATTCTGTGATGATTTGCTCAAATATGCATTTAATTTATTAAATCGCGACGGCGTAGCAACAAAATTACTGACTTCTTTCAAAGCATCAACATAATGCAATTTATTCACAGAATCAGATTGTACCGAAAGCTCAAAGCATTTGACTAGCAACTCTTCCTGGAAATAGGTGGATGCACTTAATGTGATGAAAGATGGATACTTATTGGTCAAATTGTTATTGTAGTTGTTAATGCTGGCTGCTTTGTCATACTCCGCGACTATGCCAAATACTCTAGACATGTTATCCGAAAAAGAATAACGTGACCGGTACTCATTCTTTTCAGCAAATAAACGCCTCGCCACATAAATCAATTCGAGAATTTTCCTCATAAACGATTCTTCCAAAGCTGGTGTTTCTGAGAGATTTGGTGGAACAACGGAATCCTGTTCCTCGTTTAAACTAAAAGAAAGTTTTTCAAGTAAAAGATTGGTGTCGATAAAAGTCTCCATCTTTGTGTTTGTTAAGCTAATGGTACGCTGTGGTGTCTGTTTGTATTCGATAGGACCTCTCAATACTTTGATTAGTGTGTTTATACAATGCACGGGAGAAGGTACTAGATCGGCCGTTAACCCAGGGTGGCGTTCAAATGTAGACAAGTACCTACTCTTGATTATACTCTCATTTGTGAGCAGGTCCAACATCTCAGCAGTGAATTCTGGTTCAAAAATAGTTAGCCTGAGTATCTGGTTGTTAGGTGAATTGAAGCTTTTGAAGTAGGCATCATCTATTATCTGATCTTGTTCTTGGTATTCTGCCAACAATAGCTTTAAATCGTGATTACATATTATCTCAGGGGGGATAACATGCCACTGATGCTTGTCCACAACGTTTCCAAGACTAAAGTTTGGTGTATCCTCAACCGATGCTAATCTGAAATGAAAACATCTGTGATCTCTGCTCACCACAATACCACGAACGACGCGAACAGTTTGGTTTGTCTCCTCCATCTTCAGTTCCTCCACCGAAGGACAATAGTCTATAAATTCATTCAATATCAAAGTTTGAAAGCTGAAATGGCTCGAATTGACAAGCTGACTCAATGGATAGGCGTATTCTATAGGTTTATTATTCAATAAGCTAATTCCTAACTTCTCCTTCATTGGAATAGTCCATTTCAAGTCATCAAGTATACGGTTGATTGTTTTGAATGGATAAGACAAAAGCTCAGTATCGGATATGCTTGTTTTCTGGTCCGACTCCGTGTCTCCACGTTGCAGTGCGTTGTACTGTGGTGGATCAGATTGCTGTTGCTTTAACGACCCATCTTCCTCTGTGAATGGATTTGGCAGTGGAGATTGTCTAAATGGGTTCCTAGTGTGAACCTGTGTTGTCGGATCTGTAATTGAATAACTTGACTGATTTGTGAATGGCGAGTCTCCTGAATCTGACGTATCCATTATAATTCCTGATGGTGGATTCGTGCTTGTTGTTGACGACTCCTCGCTCATGAAAATTGACTGGCTTTTTTTACCAATTGGCTAACAAGTAGTAACTGGAAAAGTAAGACTGATCGGGTGGTTTATGTATTCAGCAAAATTAGTTAGTAGGTCACGACCTGCAGACGGATTTTGTGTGTAGGTGTAGGGAAAAGTTGTCGTCATAAACAAAACCGAAAAAAAATAAAAAAAGACAGACAAGTGCGTAGAGTTAAATCTCGGAACAATTTTTCAGTGACTAAAGACCCACTTAGATCATCATATTGCCATGTCGCAGCAACCTCAAGCCATAGATTTCGAAAAAATACGAAACTCCTCAGATGGGAGCTTGAAAGGAATGATGTCGGTTGGGTTCAAGGAAGTCATATTGAACAATCCATACTTTGCAGCAGGTGGTGGTTTAATGCTTCTAGGTACTAGTTTGGCCTTGGCAAGGCTGGGTATCGTGAAAAGTTCTGGATTCCTATATCGTCAAATGTTGGTGGATTTGGAAATACCCTCTAAGGATAAGTCGTACTTGTGGTTTTTAGAATGGATGTCGAAGCACAAATATAGGACGTCACGACACCTCTCTGTGGAAACCAATGTCATCACGCATGATAATGGAGCCATTACAACAAAGTTTTCACTTGTACCTGGACCGGGAAAACATCTTCTTAGATATAAAGGAGCATTTATCCTAGTAAACCGTGAACGATCGGGGAAATTATTAGACATGACTAGTGGAACACCGTTTGAGACTGTTACATTAACGACGCTATACCGAGATCGGAAATTGTTCAATGACTTGTTATACGAGGCAAAAAGTATGGCTTTGAAAGCACGGGAAGGAAAGACAGTCATATTCACGTCGTGGGGTCCTGAATGGAGACCTTTTGGTCAACCAAGATCAAAAAGATTGTTGGGCTCAGTCATATTAGATAAGGGAATAGCAGAAGGTGTTGTTGATGACGTTAGGGACTTTTTGACCAGCGGTGAATGGTATCACAGAAGAGGTATACCTTATAGAAGAGGCTATTTATTGTATGGGCCGCCTGGAAGTGGGAAAACTTCGTTCATACAAGCTCTTGCTGGCGAATTGGACTACAACATTTGCATTTTGAACATCTCTGAAAATTCCTTGACCGATGATCGATTGAATCATCTCATGAACCACATCCCAAATAGGTCGATCTTGTTGCTCGAGGATGTCGATGCAGCATTTAATAAGAGAGAACAGTCTACGGATCAAGGATACACAAGTGGGGTCACCTTTTCCGGACTCTTGAATGCGTTGGATGGTGTTGCCAGTGCCGAGGAGTGTATAACGTTTATGACGACGAATCACCCTGAACGGTTAGACCCAGCTTTGTTAAGGCCAGGCCGTGTTGACTACAAAGTATTGATTGGCAATGCTACTGAGTACCAAGTTAAAAGAATGTTTCTTAGATTCTATGAAAATGAGGAGGAGTTATGTGAAGAGTTCCTCAGTAAGTACAGAAAACTCAATTTGCATCATGTCAGCACTGCTCAATTGCAAGGCTTGTTTGTATATAATAAAAGGGATCCAAAAGCTGCCGTTGACATGATTGAAACACTAAGGGATCCAAACTCGGTATTTTAGACATATATAGACTGGGTAATTATGCTTTATACTTTTCTATTACCTCCTGCTTGGCGGCGCTTATTCTCTGTTCAGTTACCTCTCCTGGATCTCCCGGACCGACCCTTTTCTTGCTTGCCTCGGCCATAAATTCATTTATAAACGAAATGTGAAGTAGGTAAATTATCAAGTCATTGTTGTCATTTTGAAGCAGAAAATCGCCGCCCAAATCGGGACTCTTTGATGAATTTAACTTAGACTGTAGTAGTTTTCTAAATTTACTCTCGTTGTAAGTTTTGCCACTCTTTTCAACATTTGACATCTTTGGTGGAATATGTCCTGCTTGTGGTTTGGATCCTTTTGTTTCTTTTCTCAAAGCCAGCGATAATCAAAAAAAAAAAAAATACACAACCAACAGTTATTGTGTAACATGGAAATCTCACTAGCAAAATAGAGGCAAAAGAAAAAGAAGTTGGAGTAGAGAATTGTAACCAGCAATAGCAAGTGACTTTCATTTTACAAATCTCACCCCATCAATTGCAACAAACACTACCTAGTTTCACATCCAGTTTCTGCTAAATTAAACCCAGAGTGTTTCAATAGTAGCTTTCCACAGAAATGAGATTTACACCATTCTGTGCTGCATTGGCATTGTTCAACCTCGTGGCGCCGTTAAAATTTGACAACTCCGAGGAGCTCAAAAGGTCGTTATCTAAAGTCAAAAATCGGGGGTTGGTTAATAGATTTGAATTCAATCCAGATAAACTCCCCGACGTCTTTTTTGAACAAAAAGACAAGAATAAACCTGATAAAGATTGTCCCCCGTGCTTCAATTGCAATTTACCAAACTTTGAGTGCACCCAATTTTCCCAATGCAACACATTCACAGGTATGTGCGAGTGCCAGCCAGGATATGGGGGCTTGGACTGTTCTGAACCATTATGTGGGTCCCTCGCTGATGGAAACAACAAAAGGCCGACTAGGAAGAAGGGTGTTTGTGATTGCAAGCCGGGTTGGTCAGGCATCAATTGCAATTTATGTGAGCGCGACGATGTTTGTGATTCTTTTATGCCAGAGGGAGTTAAGGGAACATGTTATAAGGAAGGGATTATTGTCAACAATTTTCACCAAATGTGCAATGTCACCAATGAAAAAATTTTGGCTATACTAAAGGGAAAGATTCCACAGGCGACATTCGCATGCAACAAGACGTCAGAAAATTGTAATTTCCAATTCTGGATTGATCAAAAAGAATCATTTTACTGTGACTTGAATAAATGTGAATTGGACTATGATTTAGCTCAAAACACTACGCACTACAATTGTGAAAAAGTGGCTTGTAAATGCTTACCAGACAGAATGTTGTGTGGTGAGGCAGGATCAATTGACATTTCTGAATTCTTGACCGAAACTATAAAAGGTCCCGGCGATTTCACATGTGATGTGGCTAAGAAAACATGTAGATTCTCGGAGCCAAGCATGAATGATCTTATACAAAGTGTGTTTGGAGACCCTTATATTACGTTGCAATGTAAGTCTGGTGAATGTGTTCATAAAAGTGAGATTCCAGGATACAGCCAGCCTGATAGCCCCAAGCTTACCTTGGGTAACATTTTCCTGATAATTGGCGTCTTGTTGGTGTGTCTTTTATTTGCTGTTACAATTGTGAGGAATATTAACGAATCGGCTTTATTCAGAAAGAGCGATGGTTATGAACCACTTGCGGCCGATTCGACTATCATGATGAACCAAAACTTTGAGCCAACGTCCCTTTCCTTTGAAAATATTAGTTATACTGTTGGTGAAAAGGACGACACGCGGGTTTTAAACAACATTTTTGGTTTGGTAAAACCAAGAGAGTGTTTGGCTATAATGGGTGGGTCCGGTGCTGGTAAAACCACTTTGTTAGATATTCTTGCTGGAAAGAATAAAGATGGTAAAATTTCAGGCAACATATACGTCAATGGCAACGTCATTGATCTCAAGCATTACAAGGAAATTGTTGGGTTTGTAGACCAAGAAGACCATTTGATTCCAACATTGACAGTTTATGAAACTGTATTGAACAGTGCATTGTTGAGGCTTCCGAGAGACATGACCTTTGAGCAAAAGCAGGCAAGAGTTTTGGAGGTGCTCAACGAATTACGAATTATAGGCATCAAGGATCGTGTGATTGGCTCTAGCTTCAAGAGAGGTATTTCTGGTGGTGAAAAGCGAAGAGTCTCCATTGCATGTGAGCTAGTTACATCGCCATCCATTTTGTTTTTGGATGAGCCCACTTCTGGTTTAGATTCGTATAATGCGAGAAACGTTGTTGATTGCTTGGTCAAGCTTTCCAGAGATTATGATCGTACCATCGTATTTACAATTCATCAGCCAAGAAGCAACATTGTCTCATTGTTTGACAAATTGATCTTGTTAAGTGACGGTGATTTAATCTTCTCGGGTGACATGATCAAAGCAAACGACTTTTTTTCAAAGAATGGGTATAAATGTCCCTTGGGATACAACATCGCTGATTACTTGATTGATATCACTGTTGATCATAACAAGATTGTTAAAGTATCCAATGCTGATTCTAGTGTAGTTGCTGCTTCTTCATCTACTGGATTCGACGATGACGTTCATTCGGAGTTTTTGAAAAACAGAAGCTCGAGTCAGGTTGATACTACTAGGGAATGGGAGCATTTTGCTGTTCATCGTGATGAATACAATACTGATGTGATTGGCCATCGAGTCACTTCGAGTGGTGAAGAAGAGACCCTTTTGAGGTTGAGAAATAAACTACACTCCTTGTTTGTTGAGTCGTCTTTAGCTGGGGAACTACAATCGGAAATTAATGAAGGTAAAGAGAATCCGAAGGAGTTTGACTTAGACCGCCATGACATTAAAAAGGCAACCATACTTGGCCAGATTCTCATCCTTTCGTCTAGAACTTTCAAAAACCTTTACAGGAACCCAAGGCTATTATTGGCTCACTATGTGTTGTCCTTATTGGTTGGTTTATTCTGTGGATACCTTTACTACGACGTTAAAAATGATATCAGTGGATTTCAAAATAGATTGGGTTTCTTCTTTTTCCTTTTAGCCTTTTTCGGATTTAGTTCGCTTACTGGATTGCATTCATTTTCCACTGAGAGGATCATTTTTGTTCGAGAACGGGCCAATAATTACTACAGTCCGTTTAGTTATTACATTAGCAAGATCTTTTGCGATATTATTCCGTTGAGAGTGCTTCCACCTGTTTTGTTGATTAGCATTGCGTATCCACTTGTTGGCTTGACAATGGAACACAATGCGTTCTTGAAGTCGATTTTGGTACTAGTATTGTTCAATGTTGTAGTTGCAGTGGAGATGTTAATTGTGGGAATATTAGTTAAAGAGCCAGGAACATCTACCATGGTAGGAGTATTGTTATTATTGTTGTCATTGTTATTTGCTGGATTGTTTATCAACAGTGAGGACTTGAATGTGCAGATAAAGTGGTTGGAATGGATTTCAGTGTTCCATTACGCTTATGAGGCGTTAACCATTAACGAAGTCAAAGACTTGATATTAAGGGAGAAAAAGTACGGCTTGTCGATAGAAGTTCCTGGTGCTGTCATATTAAGCACGTTTGGATTTAATGTTGGAGCATTTTGGAGAGATGTTTCCTTCTTGGGTGGTTTAACTGCCATCTTTTTGGGAATGGGATACATCTTTTTGTATTTCTTCACGATTGAAAAGAGATAAGTTCATCTATAGAAGATTAAAAAAAATAAAACCTTTGAATAATTGCACATTCATCAACTATTAGAGTTTTTATTTGACACGATTTGGTTGTAAATTAATCTCTTTAGGTCGCCAACATCCAAATCCTTTTTTTCAACATCAAATGCAAACTCCTCCATGGGTATAGGTGAAGTCAGCGGTTCATCTAATGGATCGTGATAGCTACTCAAATAGGGGTGTTTCAACGCTTCTTTTGCTGTTAATCTTTTGCTAGGATCAAACACCAAAATTTTCTCTAATAAATCAATAGCCAGTGGGTTCACCTCCAAGTCTCGATTTTGATGCCTGATTCGCCTACACGGGTGGTTCGAACAGAAAGTGTGAAAGTTGATTCGTGACCTGACTGGTAAAGACTTGATAAATAACTTGGCTCTTTTGGATCTAATTACTTCCATATCTTCTTCCGAGGGTGTGCCCAACAATTCAAAGATCAAGGTTAATTGGTTCATGTAGTCTGATCCTGGAAACACGGCCTTGTAAGTCAACAACTCAAACAATATGCATCCAACTGACCACATGTCTATCGCAGTTGAGTAATGTGAGGCATTGAGTATAATTTCAGGTGCACGATACCATCTGGTGGCAACATATTCTGTCAATGATGAAATCTTATTGGTACGCATCCCAACCGAATCAAGTCTGGCTAAGCCAAAATCACAGATTTTTAAATCACAGTTTTCGTTAACCAATATGTTTGACGGCTTTAAGTCTCGGTGTATTACATTGGCACTGTGAATCAACTTCAATGCTTTCAATATTTGATAGATGAAAAACTGTACATGTTGGTCACTCAATACATGGGTCTGAATAATCTGGTGCAAGTCTCCAGGCATGTACTCCTGTATCAAATAAATTTCATTGAATGAGTTAAAATTTGTTGGCCTTTGAACATCATACAACTTGATTAAGTTTTCGTGTGAGTTGAACTTTTGCAACAACTTAATTTCACGAAGAGTCCTGAGACAAAATAAGGGCCGTTCAAACGGTTCAATCTTTTTTATTGCTACTTTGGTGTTTGTGGGTAAATGCACAGCCAACGCAACTATCCCGTAAGCTCCTTCTCCTATAATCTTGAGGACTTTGAAATTATGTGAAATATTAAACACGACTTTACGCAGTTGCGTTTGCAGTTGGGGTTTTACACTCTTTTGGATTGCTTCTTTAGTCTTGACTGAAGTTGTGCTCATAATTGACAGGTATGAAATTGGATGAAATTAATGTGTTCGAATGGATCAGCTTTATACTAATTCCTGAAGGCTATAAAATGATGAAACGTATAGTGTGGACAATACCAAAAGGTGAAACAGTGCAATTGAAGTGGTCTAATGAATTCATTGTACTTTGAAAACTTTGTTGTCAATTTGCTTCAGATGACCATTCTTTGGTATATATTTTGATTTTTCTTTTTGCAACTTTTGTTTCAGATTGAATTCAACTTAAAACAAAATTGTCTACCTTAAAACTTGGCGATGAAGACGTTTCATTCTGTTGAATTAGATGCTTATCTTGCTTGTTGAGTCCATCCCTTTAGTGCTTATGAAGGTGGATGCTTCAATTGCTAGCACGCTATTCCAAAAAGGCGAAATCAGGAAATCCCATAAATGGCCGATCAATTGTGCAAATTTTTGCTTTCTGTTCACTTTGGTGCATTTTTTTTTTGTCTACAATNAGGCGTACTGAAATAGCCACAACTTTCATCTCCAATAGTAATAGCTTATGCAGACTTACTTTGTTTTTTGGCACCAAAGTTGACACACTTGTCCTAGAATTATGATGCTTAAAACTTAGTAGCCTGTTCCATAAAGAAGCATTATGTAAATCGATTAATGTAATATAAGATCCAAGTAAAACTACACTTAATACAAGGGGGATATCAGTACTAACGTCTAAAATTGTTTAGCTTGAGATTCAACATCTGATTTTCTAACACCTTGCAAGGTCGACTGGTAGATCACCAGAACCATTGTCTTGGAATTGTCTATCATCTCATCACACAAAATGGAATGTCTTGCGAAGAGGGAGAAAGAAAAGAAAAAAAAAATAAAGATTAAATTTTTCATAATCCTTTATAATCAATTGCATGTTAAATAGACTTGCACCCCTTTCAAGAACCAACTTTATTATGCCAAAAAGGAACTCGAGGAGAAATAATAAGGGAAAGAACTTTTCCAGGCAAAACACTGGCAATGACAACCCAACATGGAAGGAAGTAGAGAGAGAAAATGATGTGTGGGAAGAATACTACAAAGCGATGAACATCATACCAGACAATGAGTGGAACGACTTTAAAAAAGCTTGTCAATCGAACCTTCCAATGACTTTCAGAATAACTGGAAGTAGAAAGCATGCTGAAGAGATTAGAAATATTTTCCTTGATAGACATTATAACAACTTGAAGGGGAAGGAATATGAAGGAGTTGATTTGACACCCAAAAACATTGAGTTTTACCCCGACAAATTAGGTTGGCAAATCGATGTCAGTAAGCAGGTTATCAAAAAGCAAAAGGATTTCGCCAAAACGCAAAGGTTTCTAGTTGTGGAGACAGAAGTGGGAAATATCAGCAGACAAGAAGCAGTGTCTATGATACCGCCATTGCTTTTAGATGTTCGTCCCGAGCATTACGTTTTAGATATGTGTGCAGCACCGGGCTCAAAAACAGCCCAGTTGATTGAAGCTTTGCATGCTAATGATGAGAAGCAATTGCCAACGGGGTTTGTCTTGGCAAATGACTCTGACTACAAGAGAAGCCACATGTTGGTTCATCAAGTCAAGAGATTGAATTCACCAAACTTTTTGGTCGTTAATCACGACGCTCAATTGTTTCCTCGTATTAGATTAAACGGGCACAAAGAGTATTTAAAATTTGACAGAATACTATGCGATGTCCCTTGTTCAGGTGATGGGACAATGAGGAAAAACATCAACATCTGGAAGGATTTTAGAACCGGTAATGCTATCGGGTTGCACCCATTGCAGTACAACATTTTAAACAGGGGCTTGCAATTGTTGAAAAAGGGGGGTAGACTTGTGTACTCAACTTGCTCATTATCGCCCATAGAAAATGAAGCTATAGTTGCAGAAGCTTTAAGAAAATGGGGAAACAAAATAAAACTAGTTGATGTGTCAAATGAGCTTCCTGGTTTGAAAAGACGCCCAGGTATTTCCGACTGGCCAGTTTTTGGCAAAGATATGAAGCTAAAGAACAAGGGAGACGATGGGCTTGTTGATTCATTGTTTCCACCAACAAAGGAAGAAGCTGAAACATTTGGTTTGGACAAATGTGTTAGGGTTTACCCACATTTGCAGAATACAGGTGGTTTTTTCATTACTGTTTTTGAAAAAGTCGATCCAGAATCTAACAAGAGACAAGCTGAAGAAAGCGATGAAGAAGAGCAGGAGTCAAAAAAACAAAAAGTGGAGCCATCCGGTGAGGAAGAGGCAGTGTCGGCTGATTCAGATAAAACTATTCAGGACAAAGAATTAACCGCCTCTGTTACAGAATCGAGGCCAGTTGAAAAGAAACTGAGATTACCGAGGGATGCAAACGAGGAACCATTTGTGTTTCTTGATCCTACCAATGAAGAGTTGACCAAATGCTATCCGTTTTACGACTTTTCCTCCACATTCCCCAAAGACTGTGCTCTTGTGAGAAATGCAACGGGTGAAGCTTTGAGAACTATATACTATGTGTCACCTATCATCAAGGAGATTCTTACCGTAGACGATCAAAAATTGAAGTTGGTCCATGGTGGTATTAAGTTATTTGTTGCTCAAAGAAATGACGTCGGTATATGCCCATGGAGAGTGCAAACCGAGGCCTTGCATACGATTGAACATTATATAGGAACAAAAAGACATTTAACCTGCAACTTGGAGCTTTTGAAATTTTTATTTGTTAATGCATTCCCCAAAGTGGAGGACTTGAAGGAATCAGGTTTGGATGAAGAATTTTCCAAGAAATTGGATGTCTTAGAAGAGGGCTGCTTGTTTTTGACCGTTAAGCGTGGTGATGGTTTGGAAGATTTGTTCTTACCTCTTTGGAAAGGAAGATCTAATGTCAACTTGATGGTGAGTAAGAAGGATACGCATGAGCTACTTTACCGTGTTTTTGATATCGAGACGAGTGCAAAGGATGAAGGCAAGGAAAGGATTTATCAAGAGAAAGTGGAGGCTGCAAAGAAGGCTAGGACAGAAGGTACACCCCAGTCGGAAAAGCTAGAAGAATTGGTAGTAGATACAGCTGAAGGAGAGTCATCTAAAGATGAAGGAGGAGAGATCACAGAGGTTGAGAAGTAATTACTGAGTAATATATCATGTAGCTAATAGCACGTATTTAACTTGATTATCTTTGTTATTTTTCACCTTGGTTATCATCCAGTCCTTCTCTATCACTAGCTCGTACGAAATCATCTTCACTCGATGAACCTCTTGGTGACTCATCTGTGCTGGTTGCGTCGTTTTCAATATCTCCGTCGCTCTGTGATTCATCTCTTTGTAAAAACATTCGACAGGTGTCTTTTGTGACAAATTCATCAACCCAACTTTCAAGCATAATACCCATACTCAATAATGCTGTCTCGTCCATACACTCCAAGAATTTGTTTCTATCTGACTTTGTTCTCATATCTTTAGTGTACTTTTTCGCTACAAAATAATGAATACACTTCAACAATTCTGACAGCGGAAGCAATTTGTTCCCCAGAGAGTTTTTAGGATCAGCAATGGGTATCTTTAATTTTCCTGGTTTCATCATATCTAGAATCTCATCCGGTGGAATAGTCCTCCCTCGTGCTCTCAACACTTTATCCAAGTCCTTTGCGTTCTTATCTATAACTAGTTTAAGCCCTCCTTGTTTTGGGATTAGTTTGTGTGGTGTTTCATTCTGCACAATGTATCTTCGATTAACTAGTCGCAGTTCGTGATAATCACCATTACATGCTTCGTAAATGTTCGATTCATTAAGAACCTTTTTTTTGGATTCTGATATATTCATTGGATCTGGAGGGAAGAATTACTTCTGAGATGAGCCTTATAGGCTACCTCTTATTTATTTTTTTGGTAGCGGGACTGGGATTGGGGGGTGTGGTAGTGCGAAACGTAAACAAAACGGAATTCTAGCAGTTCCAGTTCCAGGCAACGAAATCATTCCCAGTGATGGTCGATTTAGGGTTGATAAGCAAGCATTACGAGCTACGAGAGAAGGTTTCCAGTGTACTTCAGGAAGATGACGAGAGGAAAAATTTAATAAAGTTGTCAATATTACGACTAGCGATATTGAAGCAAGGCGATGAAACGCGAATCAAGAAACTGACAAGAGGAAGCTCTAAGAAAGCAGCTGCCGCCAAATCACCAACCAAGGATTATGAAATAGAGCTTAATAAACTAAAGCAGGAATTCTCCACCAAACTGAAACTACAAGACGCAAAACTTCAATCGCTAAAGCAAGAGAATGAACGATTAAAAGACCAAGTGAAGAAGTTACATTCAGACAGTTCCTCGTCTAGTACGAGCATTTTCCAAACAAGAAAGCGAGTACTACCAAGTCATCGGTCTATATTCAGTCCAGAAAAGTCCATTTTGGTGTCAAGTAAAGCAGCAACATTCAGACACTCGTTTCCCACCATATTTGATGATGAGCTAATCACACCAATCAAGAAGATACCCGAAACAAAGCTTGCCAGTGATGTGATGAAATCAGGCTCTACTTTTTCACCCTCAAAGGATTCAAAATTGCAAGAAACGCGTGTGTTTGTAGATGGCTTAGTAAACCACAGTGCCACATCTTCCCCTACAGGGAGTTCGAAATTTCGGTCGCCCACAAAATTCGTGAAAAACTTTGATAATGAAAACAGCAACGACGAACAGCTGACTCATAAGCGAAGCCCGTCTCCTGAATTCACTCCTAATCGGAGAAGAAGGGTTCTTCGTAGTACAGACTCGTCAGCTGTGAGTGATGAAAAATTGGAAAGTACTCCCTCGGCAACTAATGGAAATGAAACTGTTGAGCATTCGGGGTCGCCCATCAGAGCTAAAAGAAAAATCAAGAAGGTGAAGAAAAAAAAGACTTTGGAATTACCGAGTCTGGGACTAATCAAAAGTGAAAAATTGAAGATGGCGTTTCCTGAAGTTGACGATGATAATTTGAATACACTTGCAAAGTATGAAGATGCCCATTTTGAGGAAAATGATGCTGCTCCTGATACCTCTAGTAATCCACTAAAAAGGAAGATGGACGTCACCGAACAAGTTTTGGATCCCGAGCCTCCAAAGAAAAAACGTAACGTATTCACAATTGATTGAACAGACGATTTGTATTATGCTATAGACCAATGTACAATTTTGTATTATGTATTAAAGAATCTGCTCCTATAGTGTTGGCTCTAAGCTTAAATGCGGCTTCGCTTTTAAGAATTGATTTACTCGCGCGAGATTTGTAAGACAAACAGAAAAGAGAGAACGAAAAAAAAAAAATTGTTATGTTCCACATTTCTAAAACATATTTGATGGCAAATAATTAGTCCTCCATTAGTTACAAGGGGGTTAGAGCTTGGTTAAAAAAAAAAAAACACGAGCTTATACAACTGTCTAAAAGGACCCATTAATAGAAAGGGAGAAACTCCACCCCATTTTTGCAAGATGTTAAGGTTGAACAAGTGTAATAGAGTGTTTCACATTGGAAACAGTTCGTGCATACGATCTTGTATCATCACAAATTCAACTCGATTTGCCTCAACGGCGACAAATTCACGGCCAGATTTAGTATCATCCAGATCCCTGTCAAGTACGATTTTCCCATCGGCAGCATTTCCCAATCCATTCTCGCATCCTGAGTTATTCGACACTTCATTATTACTCGATAAGCTGGATAAATCCGATCTGACACCGAAAGAAAGAAAGTCACCAACCAAACCTGACCAAAAACCAGCAAATCCGGAAAAGAAGGATCGTGAAAAGAAAGATATAGAAAAGAAGGATGATAAGAAGGATATTAAGGATGAAACTGTTGAAATCAAGGAGAGCATAAATCCAAACTCGCCGGTGTCGGCGACAAGTGGGAGTGCCAGTAGTGTGTCAAACATCAACAATGATGGCAACAACAACAACAACGACAATGATGGTAACAATGGTGATGATGGCTCGAAAGGGGAGAAGCCATTGGTTAACACTAAGACTGGGTTGTACACGCCGTTCTTGGCCATACCGATGAAAGATCGTCCTTGTTTGCCTGGTAGATATTGTACAATCACTGTCACTGATCCAGAAGTCATAAGATGTTTGCAAGAGGTTGTAGAAACCAAAGAGCCTTACTTTGTTCTCTTCCATGTTCGTGACCCCAATGACCCTGATGCACATATTGACATTATCAAAAACAAGGAATTTGTCCATGAAATTGGTACATTATGTCAAATTGCAAAAGTTACACCATTGGATTCCAGTCACGTTCATATACTAGCATATCCCCATCGGAGAGTTAAATTGGTTGATTTAAGTACGCCGAAAGTCAAAAGTGAAAATATCGAACAACAGCATGATAATTTCCCAACTGCGTACCTCAAAAAATATGGAATTTCGTACGCCGCCGTTCAACCAGTTGAAGATGTACCTTTTGAAAAAAATGATGTTGAAATACAAGCCTTAGTTGAAAGCATTAAAAGCTTGTGTGCTGGATTTTCGCCCAATCCATTGGCTGCAGAAAGCGGTAGAAAGGTTTTAAACAACCCTTCAATGCTTGCTGACTACGTTGGTGGTTCGGTTTGTGGTGATGCTAAACAAATACAAGAAATAATGGATAGCTTAGACGTGCAAAAGAGATTGGAAAAGACTCTTGAGTTATTGAAAGTTGAAGTTGATGCTGATGAAATTAAACGCAAGGCGCATATCAATATGAGAGAAAGAACAGAGAAGCAATATGCCCAAATGTTGATCAAAGAGTATACCAAAGAATTACTTAAAGCTGCAGGTATTGGCGAAAATTCTAAAGCTGCTAAGTTTGATGAGCGAATCAAGCATTTGAAAATGCCAGAAGAAGCTTTAGAAGCTTACAAGACCGAAAGAGCTAGATTGGGAACTCAAAGTGATATGGAGCTGAATGTAGTTGAGAGGTATCTCGATTGGCTTACTTCCATTCCTTTTGGAATCTACTCAAAGGACTCTTTTAATGTGAAGAAGGCAAGAAAGATTTTGGATAGAGACCATTATGGTTTAAAGGATGTCAAAGATAGAATTTTGGAATTCATCTCCGTGGGTAAAGTTTCTGGTAACGTCAATGGTAAGATTTTGTGTTTGGCTGGTCCTCCGGGTACTGGTAAGACATCTATTGCCAAATCTATAGCTGAATCCTTGGATAGAAAGTACACTAGAATTGCTGTTGGTGGTGTTCAAGATGTGCACGATGTCAAGGGACATAGGAGAACATATGTTGCATCTATCCCTGGTAGAATAATATCGGCTTTGGTTCAAGCCAAAACTTCCAACCCGTTGATGTTGATTGATGAAATTGATAAGTTGGACACCACTTCGCATGGGGGTGCAGCAAGAGCATTTTTGGAGATTTTAGATCCTGAGCAAAATAACTCGTTTGTTGATAACTTCATCGAAGTCAAGGTTGATTTGTCAAAGGTTTTGTTTGTTTGTACTGCAAACTACTTGGGTAATATTCCTGCACCTTTAAGAGATCGTATGGAGATCATTGAGGTGAATGGTTATACCAAACACGAAAAAATTGAAATTGCAACAAGGCATTTAATACCTGATGCTTGCAAGAAAGTTGGGTTGGAAGAAGGTCATGTTGACATTCCTAGAGAAACCATTTCGAGATTGATTGACAAGTATTGCCGTGAAAGTGGTTTAAGACATGTCAAGTCATTGATCAACCGAATTTTCAGCAAAGCTTCAATGAAGATTGTTGAACAAGTTGAGGAAAACCAACCGGAGGCAGAAGAGTCCGAGGAAATTGTTTTGAGTGCATCTGAATCTGTTACACCAAATCGACCTTCAGAAGCGGGAGCTGCTGCTGAATCTGACGACAAAAGGGCCACCCCTGCATCCAATTCAGAACAAGCCGTGGCAACAACGGATTCGGCAGAACTGAATGAAGCGAATAAAAACAAAGAATCGACTGAAAATAAGGATGAGAAAACTGAAGAGGAAAACATCAAGGAAGAAATTGTCAAATTGGATTTGCCAGAGGGCATCAAGATAGAAGTCACTCCTGAAAATTTAAAAGATTTTATTGGACCCGAAATTTACACCAAGGACAGAATCTATGAACAATTGAAACCAGGTGTGGCCACAGGGTTAGCTTACAACACTTCAGGTGATGGTGATGCTCTTTACATTGAATCTATTTTGACCGACTCCATCAGCTCCGATGTTGGAAATGGCGGTTTGCACGTTACTGGTTCATTGAAGGATGTCATGAAGGAATCGGCATCGATTGCTTACTCATTTGCCAAGCAATTCATGGTCAGAAAATACCCTGAGAACAAATTTTTTGAAGCAGCAAATATCCATGTGCACTGTCCTGGCGGTGCTATTCCTAAGGATGGGCCTTCAGCTGGTATTGCATTTACCTCATCGTTGATCTCCTTGGCATTAAATAGAGCATTGCCTAATGACACGGCAATGACGGGTGAAATAACCTTGACTGGAAGAGTGTTGGCTATTGGTGGATTAAGAGAAAAGACGTTGGGTGCAAAGAGAGCTGGTTATACCAAGATTATTTTCCCCAAGGACTGTGAGTACCAGTTGGAGGAAATTCCTGATGAGGTTAAAGAAGGGGTGACTTATATACCTATTGAATGGTATGGAGAGGTTTTTGAACATTTATTTGATGTTAGTGAGGAAGAAGGCAACTCGATGTGGAAAGAAGAGTTTGCCAAGAGAGATCAGAAGAAGAAGGAAAAGAAACAATAAATCCAACCAACCTTTTGTATATATAGTAAATGTGAAAGTAGAATTGAAAGTATATCATCATAATAAAAACTAGCCTTTTGTGTTTTAACCTAATGACCTGTCGTTCGCCGCCATGTCTTCAAAAAAGTTCTTTACCTCGTCTTCAGTAACAACTCTTCCCTGCTCGGCAAAGGGTTTGAAAAAGTCACGAAGTTTGGATTTTATCGCATTATATGCTTGAATACCTTCTATTGCTTGGTCCCTCGGTAAGGAATGGATAGCATCAACTGCCGACAGATCTGCATTAGATCCAGCTGTTGACCATGCGTCCTCCGATGCATCCTCAGGTGGTTTATACACAGGGTCGTTATCGTAAAGGTATGGGTTGTTCTGAAGGAATTGATACAAGCTTGACTCGTGGTCAAGTTTAGATATATTTTCTGTCAACTTCTTTTTGAAATGTTTGCCCAAGAATACTGAATAATGTGGATCTTCAAGGTGTTTGGTGTCACTCTCCTTCTTCACTCGTTTTTTATCTTGCGAAATCTCTTCCCTTTTCAAGGTGTTCCACTCTGTAACATTCTCGATGTCTTTGAATCGAGGCAATTTTTCTACAATGACACCAGGGAATTTTTGGTCCAATTGCATGAAAATATCACGAAATTTGGCAACACATCGCCAACAAATATATTCTTCAAATGAATTCAATCGAGGGAAGTATTGTAATCGTTTAATCATATCATCAGCGTCTTCTTCTTCGTCTGAGTCGTCGTCGCCCAGGGAGATCTCTGTCACTTCGTCAGCTTCGTTCTTTGCATCATGTTCTGTGTGTTTCTTCTGTGCATTATTAAGTGGCCCTGTATTCTTCGTATCGTTTTGCTCTTGAGTGGTCGTATGTCCGTCCTTTCCTCCCCGACTAGATTCTACCTTACTACCCTTCTCAATCATCTTTGACGATAACCCCATAATACACCTATCATGAAACCAATCTTCACCGCATTCAAATCCAAAGTAGCACTGTAGCATGTTTCCGGTTTCTTCCAAAGGGTCATATGGTTGTTTACAATCACAAAATGTGCCGTGGAAATTTTGGTTATAAACATTTGAACTACCGGGTATATCCTCTGCAGGAAGATCTACGTGGCTATGTTGTCGGCTACTTGGTCCAGACAGTAGACTTGGATTAGTAAGACCAGCTCTCCTCAAATTGCATGCTCCATTAGGAGTCTTTGCCATTCTTGTGGTTCCACAATCACATAAAAAGGATCGTTTTGTAAATAGTTCAACCAACTCGTGCTTTGAATGGCACTGTATGGAACATGAATAGCAAACACCAATTGGCTGATTATCATTCATTTTGGAACATGTCAAGCAAGCATATACTTGTTGTCTTAGTTCTCCCAATTCGTATGTACACTCGTTTGGATCAAAGGGCATCAATGTTCTAGCTTCTCTTTCCAATTGCTCCTGTTGGTTTATATAATCAACTGCTGTGAGTGAATCTTGCAGGCCATCCAATACATGTTCCTTGTTCGTCATTGTGGCGGTAGGCTATGCGAAAAACACTTGTTTAGCAAAAGGGGTTGTTTTCACTTCGAGAGACGCGCCTTAAACTTTTTGGTCGTTTGATTACTTTTCTTGAAGTTCCACACCAATACAAAGAATGATGTGTAGTATAACAGTGTTTCATTAGACGATACAACACCTACATGCTTATCTAGATCTGTGCCATCGACACTCCTAGTTGGGACTACTAATACTCTTTTTTGTGGATAGTAAAATCTAACAAAATTTTCATTCATTTTTAGTCCTAGTATACACATTTCATACATCAATATCCGACATATTCATCTTCAATCTGAAGCAATAATCTCCTTTACAACTTCATCATACCCCTCCTTATACTCATCGACCTTGTCTGCATTCTTTTTGCTCTTTCCTCCACCTGGAACAATCATGACACATGATGTTGGCCTCTTTGTAGCACCAGCACTTCCTAAATCTTCCTTCGAAGGTATAAACACATATGAAACAGCATTGTCCTCACACAATACGGGGATGTGTGATATGACATCAGCAGGACTTATGTCTCCAGCAATAACCACAAGACCCTTTTCTCCTTTTCTTAATGCCTTGACAACTTCTTTGACACCTCTTTTCACATGTTTGGCTTTGGATGCCTTCTTGACAGTTTTCAAAATTTTCTTGTTCAACTTCTTTGATGCCAATGGTTTGGCAAATGGTAACACTGCAGCCATTCTTTTTTCATAGTTGTCATCTCCAGATATCGTCTCTTCCGATTTGACCTTAGTTTCTTTAACCTTGGTTTCTTTGACTTTTCCGTCCTTTTTGCTTCCCATGTTGTCTCTGTGTGTGTTTGTGTGTATGTGTAAATGAAATGGGTGTCAACACTCTTTTGAAAAATTGATAAATAGCGATGGCCTTTTTCTTCAAAAGAAATGAAATTTTTTTTTTTTGTTCCTCCATTGTGTCTCTGTAATTTTGTTTGTGTCAAGATTCATAAAACACTTTGGCTATTGGAAACTTAATGAGTTAGTCTCAAACTACGCTGTTTAATAAGGAATAGATCAATTGCACACACCACAATGGCACACAATCAAGATAACAGACAAACGAGAAAACGCAGGAAGCCTTACCGCTCGTCTCGGCCAACTTCGAACTCCCACACAGCACCACCAGCACCACCATCATCTGCATCGTCAAGCTACCCAACTCCGCAAACCCACCCACTTGAACTAGGTCTATCAAACGAACCAATCATTGACAATACAACCAAAAGCTCGGTTGATGACACAAAAGTGATACACTTTTTATCAAAGCTAAAACCTCGTGGGTTTCAAACTGTCAGTGACGACCCATCACATATCACAATCATTGTCAGCTCCTTTGAAAGGAGCTTGGTCGACATTTCTACAGTCAAACAAGTCCTAACTGAAAAGTTTCAAATCGACGATGTGGTAACCACTGAAGGCCTACCAGGAACAATTGACGTTTTAGTTACAGTGTATGGACGAATGCTTAACATAGCTAAAGCCGTTGTTTTCCTCATATTTCAACTCAATACTAAAGTTAATAACTTACAAAAGGATGTTTTCACATTGAAATCGTCTACTTACAAAGCCCATTTATTATTGAAAAATGGAGAAGAAGTCCAAGGGATAAAGTACGTCGATATTGCTCATTTGTTTAGCTATGAATTCAACAAGGGGGCCTATGATGTCTTTGTGCAGGGTGATTTGACTTCGATTTTTAACTTCATTCTCCACTGCCTTGACAGGAAATGGAATCTAGAGACTAGTCTCATCAGGTTGGAACCAATGTTTGGTATACATTTGGACCAAGCATTAAAGCTGACATCAAGAGAAAATATAGATATCAAAAATAGAGCTCGAAATACCTTGCTACAATACTTGTATCCGGCACTGAGATACGAGAATATACAAAGTTAAATCTTTTTCTTTAATATGTTCTTCATTCAATGTATATTTTTTTTTGTAGATCTAGACACGAGTCACTACGGTATTCTTACCTTTCCGCGATATAGATGCAACTCTATCACCTAAACTCAAGGCCAACCCTTGCCCCTTGGATCTTATCCTAACATGTCCAATGATAGGACCATCGCTTTGCTTCTCAATACACAAGTTGGCCAATGCGTCTTCTCCAAATGTCGACCTTGAATACAAGTTTGCCGAAAGGAATTGACACTCTTCTCCGATCACAGCTCCTGGTGTCAAGCATTCCATATTTGTTCCCTTCATTAGCTCTTCAAGGTAATTCTTTAAGGTATCTATTGGGGATTTGATGGTGATCTTATTCTCCCACTCAAACTCGTTCCACATCTTACGGAATTGGCTTTCGGAACACATCGCTGGCTTGATGTAATCCATAATGTCAACATGAACATCGTTCAAAATGACGATTGTCGACTCGTCAGAGTGTTGTCCATCATATACAATGTTTCCGAAAATAACTCCTGTGTCAGCAGAAGTAACCTTGATTGTGGTTTGAATTTTGTAAAAACCGTGTGGGCCGATATTTGTAGTAGTAGGCTTATCAACAACTTTCAAGTCACCCAATGTTGCAAATTCCACGGAGAGATTACGCAATGTTGCAGTTGTCTGGTTAACCAAAAGAACGTCCAACACAACATCGTATTGGTGTACCTTGACAAAAGCCTCGGCGTAAATTGGATCAGAAAATCCAGTTAATTGTAAGATATGGTTCAATCTGGAAGACAAGTTTTCCTTCTTCAAATCGCTTCCTGAAGCTGCGGCAAGATCGTCAACCAACTTATTGCTCGACTTGTTATCCTTATCAAGTTGTCTAAACACAATAACATCATCGACTTGATCAGCATTTTCATGTAAATCTTTAGCCTCCTCTTCAGCCTTCTTGGCTTCAACATCAGTGATCTGGGCTTTGAATGCATCTTTGGTGTCTTCAAGGAAACTGGTAGTGATATCCTCAACATCTTTTTCATCATTCAAAATCCTGATGTAGGAGAATATTCTATCAGCTGAATCTTCGTCAATCTTTTTAGCAGCCAATGAACTCTCTCCTAATCTCAAGATGGAGACCATAATCAACAAGGCCTCTGCTTTCAAAGCGTTTAAGATTTTTTCTTGGGTTTTCGTTTTCTGCAAACGAAGTATCAATTTAACAAGTGTGGACGACAACACAGCACCAAGGTAAAAATCTCCCGCGAGCAACTGCTTTCTAATTGGTGTTTTGGTCTCGTCCTCAAATCCGTTACTAATATCAGCAGTCAAGGCAGATTCTGTGGCATATGTTCCATCGGGCAAAACTGTAGGTCCCTTCTTCTTGTGTGAGGAGTGCTCGTCTCCATCATTTTCCTCTGAATTTGCTGGTTCCTTTTGCTTCAACTCACTAGCCACTATGGGAACTTCACCAATGCTTGATCTAATGTATTTCCATGCATCTTGGATCAAGTGTTCATCCAATGCATATTCACCAATTACCCAAAAAGCACCTCTAAATACCTTACCACTCTTGACATTGGGCAATGCCAAAATAAGTCTCTTTACAATAGCATCTCTCAAATCAGGAAATTTTTCAACAACCTCTTTTACAAACGTAATAACCTCGTATGCTGAAGTTGAATTCAAATCTGCAATAGAGTCCAATAGCAAATCAATAACATTTGCCGCAACTTCAACAAATTTGATTGCCAATTGATGAATAGCATTGATTAATAGCTGTCTGTACTCCACATTCTTATCGTCGTTAGATGAGCTGGTAGCCTGCAATTCTTTCTTTAATAATTTTACCACATCCTCAACATTTCTCGAAGTAATGAATTCAAGAGTAACATCCAATGCCTTCTTTCTCACTGCTACATCTTGTGATGACAAAACTCTCAATATCTCCAATGACAAATCTTGCAAAATACCTGGGTGTTGTTTATTCAACTCCTTGATTCTCTCCAAAGTGATGATCTTGACGTTGTTGTCTGCCTCTTTATTGGCCAACTCGACAAATTTGGTACCGGCCAAGAGAATTGAACCTGAGTTTGAACTCAAACTGGTTAAGGCATTAGCAGCCTCGTACATTACCACATTGGACGAGCTTTCAACCATTTCAGTAACCAATTGGGCATATTGCTGTTTCAAAGCTGGGTTCAATAACGAATCCTTTTTAAAAAATTCGATAAAGCTCAATTGTAATAAGGAGTCCAATGTATCAATGACACTAATGTTGTCCTGGATATATTGCAAAGCAGCATTTCTATTCAAATCACCAAGACACACAAAGGCGTTCCTCTTACAAACAGAATCATTCTCTTCGTACAAGAAACGATAAATCAATTCATCGACATCTGGGCACAAATGGTCGCTGACCTTGTGAATTGACCAAAGTGCGAAAACGGCATTCTTACGAACGTAAGCGTGTCTATGTTCAAGACACTGACGAACATTAGGAACCAACGTTTCCAACAATTCTGGTTCCTTCAATTTGGTCAAGTATCTCAATGTGATACCTCTGATATATTCGTTGGGGTGTTGCAAATCACGTTGTATAGCATTACAAACAAGAATCATCTCATGTCTCATTTTGCCCGAACTGTCAACTTTGGGACAAACTTCCCAATAGTGATACAACAATCTCTTCAATTCTTTATTTTTCGAAGGCATGATAAATCTGATAATGTGCATCAAAAGGTCAGGCAAAGGATCACCGTTGAGTATAGTGATTATGATTTTCTTCATGGTGTCAACTTTTGCATCGTCCTTTCCCTTCTCCAACAAGTTCTTGTATTCATTGACGGAGACTTTACTAGCCGTATTAGGCTCATAAATCAACGTGTACCCACTTTCACTCATGTTCTCAGGTGATTTTTGTTTCAATTGATGCAAGTTTGAATGTAAGTCCTGTGAGAGATCCAAATACAATAAAAAAAAAATTCAAATTGTTTGTTATTGACGTGTTGGTTGGTTCGTCGGTGAAAGAAAAAATGTGAAGAAAAAAAATTACACTGATTTTTGAACACAAAGACACTACATTAATATACAAATACAATTAGCTTTAATCATTAGAAAGATAAACTTTTATTATATACTACTCGGTATCACTATCATTATCAGGATTGGCAAGAACCAATCTTGGACGGTCATTTTCTTCATAGTCATCATACTTTTCCTGTTTTCCATAGGAATCATAAGAGTTGAATCCATTGAGACTGGATCCATTATGCAGAGCACCTGGACTCTCTGCACTGCTCTTGTCCTCCGATTCTTCATCAATATCACCATACTTATATCCACGATGCTGGTAGTAGCCAGTAATCTTGTCTGACAAACTTCCAGATGATTCACTCGACACAATTGAATCTGTCCTATGGAGACTTGCTTCATTGGTATTGCCCTTTGTACTTCCTGTGGCACTACTAACAATACTTTGAGTGTCCCCTGTAAGCACAGACCCATCGGTGGTAGTTCTCTTTAACGAATTTTCCCGAGAGGCCTTTGTACTAACGGATTGGTTACGAGAACTAAAAGTATTGGCAACAGATGGATTTGTTGTAGTAGTGGTCCTTGTAAGCCCAATGCCAACATAGCCATCATCGCCTTCATCAATCTCTGCTGCTAATAGTCTTGGTTTCAAATGTCCATGTTTCAACTCAACACCACTAGTCTTTTTACGAGAATTACTTCCACTAAGGTTTCCAGCAAGTCGCTTGTATTTCCCATTGGAGTTCTCCTTGGTTGCGGTTTTGTCTACTGGCAATATACCAACAGGTAATTTCCACCTTGATGGGCCCAGCTCATTAAATGCAGTTCCTGCACTTCTTCGTATGGCTAAAACATAGTTTGATCTTTCACCTTCGCCCGGCTTCAAACTTAACGATCTTTTTAAGCTAGCGAGATTAACGTTTTTGTAAGAGTTGGAGCTCTTTATAGAGCCCACAGAACTTGAATTTCGGTGAAAGTTGCGGTGCGTGTTCAGTGTATTGTAGCTTTTCATCGAGTTTGCGTGAGAAAAGGAAAATCCTGATGTGTCAGTTGAGGTATGTTGCAAGGCAGATTGTGGAGGCTGACGGGGCTGAGGTGGGTGGTTAGCTTGCTGCATTCCTTGCGCCCGTTGTAGAGATTGCAGTTGCTGATGAATTGAATGTGTGGGTGACTGATTAGGTAGGGCGGATGACGGTATTCTCGATGTGTTAGTCGATGACCTCGATACTGGTGAACGGACACTCTGTGTAGTAGTAGACACCGGCATTGTATCAGAAGATGGATTTGTTGAGGTTTCATATTGCGCCTTTTGTCTACTGGGAGATGTGGATGAATAAACGGATGATTGTGAAGATATGGGGGCATCGAAGGCGTTGCGTTGTTCCGATAATTGTTTACTTAACGTCATTTCAAATGGATTGACTTGCTCTAGACCACGAGTATCCATCATGTAGTTTTGTATGATTTGAGGAGAGTTCTCCAAAGAATCCGCTGGTGTGCGAGTAGGTGACTCCGATGGAGAGTCCAAAAAGGAGTCTATCGGGTATGGAGTTTGTTGGGTATGCATCTGTGATCCTTCCACTGTTTCCTCTAGTTGATCAAAAGCTTTTGATCTATTCAAATTCAACTCATGCACGAAATCGGGGTGTGATTCGTCATATTCACGATCAAAGTAAACACTATCGCTGATTGATCTACCGTCAGTTGGAGTGTATCTAATCTCGCTGCTATCCGATTTATCAAGCTGTAGAAAATGGTCAATCTCGGATTCCAAATCACCAAGGATATCTGCCGTAATTCCAGTTCCTATTTTATCCAGATGGGAATTTATTGTCCGTGATAATGATCTAGCACTTCCACTAGTCCTGTCAGACTTTTGGTCATTAACTGCAAAATCAAAGGAGTCCAAATCGCTAGGTGGCTTTCTCCTCAAAGATTGTGGTTTCGGGCTTGTGGAGTTGGCGCTAGTTGAAGGATGTAGCGAGTTGAATGGATATAGGCTGGGTTTTGTTTCCTCTTCTTGATGCAACGAGGACACATTGGGACCATAGAGGGTGCTCCTTGTTTGGTGATCATAAGTTTCAGGATTGCTCTTTCCAGAGATCATTTCATGGTCCGGTTGTGTAATGTTTACTTGTGGATGCGGTACATGAGACCCAGCAAGTGCGGAGTGTTGGGTGCCACTAGGTACATTTGCTCTCAATGTGCTAGCAGAAGATTTTGAATGTAAGGAGTGGACACCATGGTTGGTTGGATGTAGTGACGAGTTTAGGGTAGCTGAGCTAGAGCGATTATTCAAGTGGGGTTTACTAAGCGGCCGTGGCTTGGGAGATTGTGACGGGGACGGTGAAATGCCTCGTGTCGAATTTCCATGTGGCTTTTTATCATTAGGCGAGCCATGGCCCTGGTTGAATATGGACGACAACTTTGATCCAAAACCTCTCTTTTCTGACATGGTTGGGTCGATGATTAGATGTTTCTTTTTCTTTTTTTGATTTATATCTGATGCATCGGGATCCCTTTTTGCGAGGCAATGCAGTCTTCTTTTAGGGCTCTTTCGTTTCTCTGGTATTCCACTACTAGGTTCCGATTATGAATGATTTCAGTTGCCAAAAAAGGATGTCTTTTAAATATTGTAACTTGGATCTAGAATTGGTTTGTCCTTTGGTGCGTGTGGTAATTTAATTTTTTTTTTTTTATTTTTTTTCGTCTCTTGTTTTGTTTCGCTTATGAATTTTTAATGTCGTGTCGTACAACCGAATTCAATGAAAAGATTCTTAGTTAGCACAACAGGTCAACCAGTTGTGACACATTTAGACTAAATAATCAATGAATGAGAATATTGGGTACCCTGATAAGAAGAAAGTACTGCACCACCACTCGATACTGAAAAACAACAAGTTGAATGATTTGAAATCAATCAAGTTTTTCAATTTATACAACCAACAAGTTGACGAACTGGGACAGACTAGTCCTCACAAGAGATTTGGCAGAAGGCGAAGCACACTCACCACCATTCCTACTATATCCGATGTATTAGAAAACGAGTACAATGATTTACGGAAACTAATAAAGTTTTCTAAAGAGCGAATACTAGATACCTTGATCACGATTCATTTGACGAAGTCTGACACTGTCTTATACGTTAGTGATGTATCGTATGGAGATGCTGATCCTCAATTCACAATACAACTAAGCCATGTGCCTGCTCCCATTCATAAATGTGTTATTAAACTATGGTCTGGAAGTAATAATCAATGGAGTCTTCTTTGTAGGTACAAGGTTGATCTAAACAAGTTAAAGAGGGAGAGTGAAGTATTGGATGACGATGCGTTTGACATGTTCAAGGACAATGCGATTTGCATGAAGTTGAGCTGTGGATGGTATACTTTTCCAGACATGCTTGTGGCGAGGAACCTGGCCCTAGAACATAGCACTGAGCCCAAATTGAAAGCAATCAATTCGTACACTTTTGATCAACTTCGATCTATTAACAACATCACCAAATCAATCAAGGAACTTGATGTTTCCAAAATCAAGTTGAAGCAACAGATTCACAAGTACATTCAAGACATAGATTATAATAATGCGAATAACATTTCTGCACTTTTAGACGAATTGAATTACAAATGCAACGCATTGGAACAAGACATCAAGAAAGTAAAGGCAGGTAATGAAGCGATAAAAAGTCAGATATACAATGTTAATCAGAAGACCGATGATGCCAACGAATTGCAATCACGCTTTGAGAACCTACGTGAATTGGTCAAGGACAAATTCGGAATATATGATCACGAAATTGAGTATGTGAAGAAGAGTCGAAATGATGTTAAAAATGACATCAAACAACGATTAAAGGACTACGTTTCCATAATAACTGAAATAATACCTATTCGTGACATATCCTTCTCATGTTTTTCAATACTTGGATTCGAATTCCCCCACAATTTGAAAAGCTTAAAGGAAATCTGCTATTACAATGCAAGTGGGTTGAAGAATTCCTACTACGAGCCTAGTTTTGATTCCGAATCTCAATGGCATGAGTTTACAATTTCACAAGTCAATGCATGTCTATCGTTGATTGTCCAATTGCTCTCAGTTTTATCCGACATAACGCAAACGCCGCTTTTGTACAAAATGGTTCTTTTCGGTAGTCAAAGCTTTATCATCGATGAGAGCAAAATTTATCCCATAGCTGGGAAAAATCCGTTAGTCGCTACTCCACCATACAAATTCCCATTGTATTTTGACTCAAAAGACGTCAATAATGAAAAAGTATTGACAAGCCAAGGGTCAATAATCATGAATCAAGAGTTTGAATATGGGTTAAAGTTGTTGAGTCGGAATATCTCACGATTGATAAATTATGTAAAAGAGGATATTTATGACGATTCGAGTTCAGAAGCTATCCCAAGTGATTGTCAGGATAACTTTTTGTGGAACTTGAAATACTTGGAACTCTTGATAACCGCTTAATTAGACTAAACGCTATAAAAGGCTGCAAGGTATATATATATATATATATATATATATACCTGCTTTTTAAATAATTGCAAACTCGTGGTATCAAAAATTAAGTATGAGTTTTGCTTCGCCTTGCTTCTCTCTCTCTTTATCCTTATAGCATTGCAACGGCTAATCCTCCAAGCACGGCACCAAATGGGGCAGTTAACCCAGGTGCTAATCCTGAACGGGTTTTTGCTTCTGCTTCAGAAGCAGATTTTGCTGCAGCAACGGCAGCTTTAGATGAATCAACAGTATTTTGAGGGTCGTATGATGTTGTCGAAGCAGCTGAAGCCTTTCCTGAATTGTCAGATGCTGAGGTGCTCGAAGCGGCACTGCCCTTTGACTGAGATGTGCTGTCACTACTTTCATCACTTCCACCAGAAGAGCTTGACCCGCTTGATCCTCCTGATCCGCCACTACCACCGGCAGCCGATTCTATCCTCGTGTACCAAGGGATATTTGTGGCGTAACTCTCTAATTCGCCAATGTTTAAATTATTGTTATCCAATAACGTTGTGTAGGAAGTGTCAGTGTATGTTAATACTTGGGTAGCCAATGTTGACAATACACCAGGTACATCGTCAGCAGTACCAAAAAACTTTATATAGTCAGTTCTATGCTCCTGGTAGTCACCGACCAATGCTGTTAAAAACTGAACGTCAGATTGATCTGCAGCAAACGCTGTCGATATGATAGTAGCAAGTGTTGTGATTAATGTGTGTGAAAACTTCATTGTTAGATGCGGAAATGGAGTATATTTAGGCTTGATCTATCGCTGGTGAGATAAAGTGTATTTGGATATTATTATATATGTAATTTGATGTCAGCAACTAGGCAGGTATGATGTGACTTTTGAAAAAGAACTGAAACGCTGAAAGAAAGTATCGCTACTGATAAAAAGAAAGCTTTTTGAAATGATGGAAAGGATGGGTTTGATCTATCTAATGAGATTGTGGGGAGACGTCTTTTATATTTATTTAAAGCAGATGCCTTTGATTTTTCGATGTAATGATTAAATCATTACTTCCTAATTAGGAAATTCACAAAAAAATAAAAGAACACAATAAAGAGATCCACTAACAAAATTTCCTAACAGAGAAGAATCAAATTAATCACCAAACCCTTGTTCAATTGTTATACACGCACACGCACACACTTGGTAAATGCTTATAGGCCAAAGTTAAGAAGGGCTATGCTTTAATTGAAAGGAGGTCACACGACATCAGTAGTGACTAATTTAAGAGATTGTAAAGAATGTTGTTACTACAAATGGAAAATCTCTCTATTTAGTGTGAGTGCGGATTTTAAAGAATGAGTATGTGTTAGTTAGCAAAAGGTATTTAGGAGCGGGGATGTTTACTATTGATTGTATCAGGCAAGATGCTAGGAAGGTGAAATATGAGTGATCCTGAGCTGAAGTTGTTCATTGTCACGTACACAGCATATGACTTGCACACGGCTAGGT